TTAAGTCCCCTCTTTTCTTTTCTGGCTGCCCTGCCCTTGCGCCGCGATGTCTCCGCCTTGACTCTCGGCTCTTGGCTCCTGACTCTTGATTCTTGACTCTTGACTTTCGACTCTTGACTCTTGACTCTTGATTCTTGACTCTTGGTCTTGATCTCGACTCTTGATTCTTGACTCTTGACTCTTGATCTCGACTCTTGATTCTTGACTCTTGACTTTTGATCTCGACTCTTGATTCTTGACTCTTGACTCTTGATCTCGACTCTTGATTCTTGATTCTTGACTCTTAACTTTGACTCCTACAACTTGTCCCTTACCATCTACCTCTTGACTCGTGACTCTTACCTCTTGACTCTTTCGTCCTGCTTCTTGACTCTTGACTTTGACTCTCGCCTTTTGCTTCTTTCCCCTTACCTGTGTCTCTTGCCCTTTGCCTATTACCTCTTGCCCCTTACCTTTTGCCCCTTACCTGCTTCTCTTGCCCCTTACCCCTTACCTCCTTTCTCTTGATTCTGAACGAAGAAGAACCTCCTCCCCCCCCCTAAAAAAAAATGAGACTGATTGAATCACCCTCTCCCCTCCCCCCTTCCCCTCCCCCCCCATATTGCGAGTCTCCCTACGTGCTGTTGCAATGACGCCCAATCACATTACAGAGCCTGGCTGGTCCCTTCCCTTAGGCTTGTCTGTTAGGCCTTCTTGCCTCAATAGGGGGGGTGGGGGCTGAAGGGGGAGGGGGGGGGTTGAAGGGGTGATGGGGTTGAAGGGGGGTGGGGGGGAGGGGGAGGGGTGAAGGGGTGATGGGGGAGGGGGGGGAGGGGAGGGTTGAAGGGGTGATGTGTGTAGGGTGGGGGAGGGCTGAAAGGGTGATGGGGTGATGGGAGGAAGGGTTGAAGGGGAGGGGGAGAGGGGTTAAGGGAAAAGGAGGGTAAGAAGTAGACAAGGATAATATGAAGGAAGAAGAGGGGGGAAAAGAGGAGAGGAAGAGGAAGAGAAAGAGGGTATATGGGTGGGAAAGATTTTTTTTTTTTCTTTTTTTTTTGACATGTTTGAGGCATCCTAGTTCAGTGGTTGTTTGTTTGTTTTTGTATTGTTTCTTGTTCTGTTTGGCAATGACGTGGTCTTATTCTTCTTTTATTTGCTATTTACACAATTTTTTTTTTTTTTTGGTTTCTTCTTCTTACACTGGTTATCAAATATCTTTTATTTTCCTTCACTTTCTTTTATTTTCTGCTTTATTCTCTTCTTGTCTTCTATTTCGTTTTCTTTCTTCGTTATCTATATTTTCTTCTTCCTCCTTCCTTTTTCTCTTCTTCCTCTTCTTCTTATTATTATTCCTCTTCCTCTTCTCCATCGTTGTCATCGTCTTTATCACCCCCCCCCCCCCTTCTCTCCTCATCCTCCTCTCCTTCTTCTATTCTCCTTTCTTCCTTCTTCATCTTCTTCATCATCATCATCTTATTCTTTTGCCTCCTTTCCCTTGTTGTCTCACCTTCCATATTCTTGTTGCAAATAATCAACTCGGCATTTGCAATGTCACCATCTATCTCATTTATGCTTTTCGCAATGACAATGCTTCCATTAATGGTATTTCATTGTTAGATTTTCTGTCTATCTCTCTGTCTCTTTCTCTTTCTCTTTCACTTTCTCTTTTTCTCTTCTTCTTTGTCTTTGTCTTTGTCTTTGTCTTTGTCTTTCTCTCTGTCTCTCTCTCTCTCTCTCTCTCTCTCTCTCTCTCTCTCTCTCTCTCTCTCTCTCTCTCTCTCTCTCTCTCTCTCTCTCTCTCTCTCTCTCTCTCTCTCTTCCTCCCTCCCTCCCTCTTCCTTAATATATTTTCCTTTCAAAGAATAAATTAACCAGTAGTAATAAAAACATTGCTCAAAGCTAGGACCAGTTATCAACTAAGAGGGAGAGAGACGGAGGCAAATTAGCATAGTTGTTTTCTGCATACCTCGTATAATATTATTATAAGTACATTATTATAATTTTGTACTCGGTGGTATTCATATATAAATATAAATATTACATGATTCATCAGCATTCTGTCTATTGGTATTGTGTTAATGCAATACATCCTATGTTATGTTATGTTTAATATTTATACATAAAACCAAATGTATGTTATTATTATACTGTATATTATCATTGGTTTTGTACAGTTAATATATATAATGTTGGTTAGTAACATTATGACATAAGATGTACTTGCAAATTATGAAATGATTTTACTTTCTGGTTGCATATACAAAAAGCAACATAATCATTATAATAATCATTATTATCATCTTTATTATTATAATAATAATGATAAAGATAATAATAAGTATAGTAATTATTACTATAGTAATTATTATTATTATTAATTTATTGGTAAAGATAATAATAATAATAATAATAATAATAATAATAATAATAATAATAATAATGATAACCATCATCATCATAACACTAATAAGATTAATTATGATAATATATAATGATTATCATAATGAGAATAATACTGATA